GGCCAAGACTGACTTGTCAGAACAGTTCCAGTTGCTACAAGATCTGCAGCTAAAAACGGCAGCAAAACTGTTAAGGAGTCAAATACCCACCAATGTACCTCCACCTCTAACTTCAGGTCTGGTTTTAAAATACCCTATCTGCTTACAGTGTGGTCTATGTGTAGGACTTAATTGCCGTCATAAATTACAGGGCACTTTGGGGTCTTACCTTCTTATCTACCCACAGCTCCACCTTGTAAGCACTCCCGAAAACCACGGAGAGATTAAGGTGAGTCTTGGCTTTAGGTTGCGAACTAGGAAAAGATCCCAAGTCCCAAAGTACCACAGGAGAGCCAGATCCATCACACCAAGGAGTTCTATATCACCATCACTAAGGAAAGCTAAAGCCTATACTCGAGCTTCCAAGAGTCCTACTTCTACAATGGATTTCCAGTCTGTATCTTCCCAGTTTCCTGCTCCTGTACAAGTCCACATCAGGCAAAGACAGTATAGGAGCCCTGCCCTAGCAGGAAAGACGACAATTAGAAGGCCAGGGCACTATGAGTTCATTCAAGTTCACTCTGTACCAGAGAGTGACTCTGAAAGCAATCAGGATGAAAAATGGGCTAAAAGGAGAAATAAAAGGACCCGTAGTTCAAAATACCCAAGGAAAAGAATCACTACGGGAGGCAGAACACAAAAAACAAAGTTCTACACAAATGGTAGAACCACAATACGGAGTTCTTCTCGGGATTTACCAGACCAGTTAAGAAGGAAGAGGAATGGATCATCTCAGACAACTACTGCCTCTTCAAAAAGACAATCTAAGAAATCCTCCCAACCCAAATTCATTCAACGGCTTTTTCAAGGTCTAAAGCAAGCATTCCAGACAGCAGGCAGAATTATGGCTTTTGCCGGAAGAGAAGAGAAACTCACACCCAAGAAGCGAAACCACCATAGCTTCGTAAGGGAGAGAACCCCATGTAATTCCCCGGAAAGGAGCCATCGCAGTCCCTCCGAGAGGCGCCATCGAAGTCGTCCTCGGAGGAGACATCACAGTTCCTCTGAAAGGAGCCATCAGAGTACCTGTGAGAGGAGATGTCACAGTCCCTGTGAGAGGAGATGTCGCAGTCCCTGTGAGAGGAGATGTCG